TAGTAGTAGTAGTAGCAGTAGTAGTCGTAGTAGTCGTCGCTGTAATAGTAGTAGTAGTAGTAGTCGTCGTCGTCGTCGTCGTTGTCGTCGTCGTCGTCGTCGTCGTTGTCGTCGTAGTAGTAGTAGTAGTAGTAGTAGTGGTAGTGGTAGTGGTAGTGGTATTGGTAGTGGTAGCAATAGCAGTAGCAGTAGCAGTAGCAGTAGCAGTAGTAGTAGCAGCAGTAGTAGTAGTAGTAGTAGTAGTAGTAGTAGTAGTAGTAGTAGAAGTAGGCCGTAGACCCCTCTAGGCACTTCCTAAAGGCTGATTGTGAATCGGTTTGAATCCAGGGCGTGTGGGGTGTGTATGCGTGTACGTTGCCTGGCAGTTGTATGGGGCCGACGTAGTGAGAGAGCAGGGGGCATCGCGCGTTGTACAGCTCTGAGCACTGGGCCAATGCTGCTATGGAGTACGGGGGAGGGGGGGAGAGGGATGGGGGGGAGGGGGAGTGACGACGGCGATGGCGATGATGATGACGATGACGAAAATTACGTGATGGTGCGATCGTTTGCCCACGAGAATTTCGCAACCAGTGCTTGCACTTAGTATTTCTCAATTCTCTTCCGAGGAACTGGGCCTGAATGTTGGTCTTGCAGCTCAGTGCTCGCTGTCGCCGCGCCGTTGCCGCCTCGCCGCCGCCCGTCGTGTGGGCCTGAATGTCGGTCTGGCGGCTCCTGCTCGCCGTCGCCGCCCCGTTTCCGCCTCGTCACCGAGCCAGTCTGGCGGCTACGTTGTCGCCGTCGCCGCCCCGTCGTCGCCGTCGCCGCCCCGTCGCCGCCTCGCATATATTGCACCGCATGACTTTAACCGCATCGATTGCATCGCCTAGATTGCACCGCATATGTTGCACCACATGGATTGCACCGCATTTTTTGCACACCAGAAGTCGCACCACACATATCTCACCGCATATGTTGCACAACATAGATCGCATCACACATCTTGCATCACACAGCTTGCATCACGCAGCTTGCACCACGCAGCTTACACCATGTACATTGCTCCAAAGCGATTGCACACTGCACTTAGCTCCTCGTAGTTTGCATACCATAGATCGCACGACATACATTGCACAGCATAGGTGGCACACCATACATATACAGAACATGCATGCATCACACCACATACGCTGCACCACATACACTGCGCCGAACACATCGTTCCTCCTTATTTATTGCACAACGTATATGGATAGCAACGCACTGTTAGAGATCCACGCTGGCTAACATGACTATTCGTAGTAACATGGCTGTTGCGGCTACGAAATCAAAGTGCAACGTGCTTGGCACCACTGATACCAAGAGAAAGATGATGATCACTATGAGGGGATTGATGAGGCAAGGGTACGGGCGATTATTATGACCACGATGCTGCTGGTGGTGTTGTCGGTGATTCCGATGATGATGATGATGATGATGATGATGATGATGATGCTGATGATGATGATGATGATGAGGATGATGATGATGATGCTATGATGATGATGATGGTGATGATGATGATGCTGCTGATGATGATGATGATGCTGATAATGATGATGATGCTGCTGCTGATGATGATGATGATGATGTTGCTGATGCTGATAATGCTGCTGCTGATGATGACGATGCTGATGATGATGCGAGTGCTGTTGCTGCTGCTGCTGCTGATGATCACTATGCTGATACTGCTGATTATGATGCTACTGCTGCTGATGCTGATGCTAATGATGCTGCTGATGCTGCTGCTGATAATGATGCTGATGCGGCTGATGCTGCTGCTGATGATGTTGATGACGATGCTGATGATGATGATGACGATGATGTTGGTGATGTTGGTGATGATGATGGTGATGATGACGATGATGCTGCTGATGATGATGGTGATGATGATGCTGTTGGTGATGATGATGATGGTGATGATGAGGAGGAAGATGAGGAGGAAGTGAGTTCGGCGATGAGGAAGAGGAGGGGATGCGGAGGATGAAGGATGATGAAGAGGCGGATGTGGAGGAAGTGACCGCCAGAGGTACACGGTCGGCGGCAGCATATCCTGAGCAGCTCGTTCGAGTATAGAAGAAACACTATCGAGAGTAGTGCAGAGAGTGAAGACAAGTGCAGGTATTAATTCAGAGCATACTACAGGGAATCCAATGCAACACCATCATGACAGACGGGGAACCATATGGGTGGTCATAATGGGATACCGCAAGGAAAACCATGAGGGATACTACACAGGGAGACCACGCGGGTGGGGGGAGGAGGAGAAGGAGTAGGAGGAGAACGAGGAAGAGACAAAAATCATCAGTGGCGGCAGCAGCAGGAATTAAGGAGGATAACGCTCGCGCCAGTCTCTGTGGAAGCCGTACTAGCATGGGTGATTGAATCTGATTGAAGCACGGGCCCCGGGATCCCACCAGCCATCCGAGCGTAGGTGGTCAGCGTAGATGTCTCAAGACGGCCCCATCAGGGCTGCAGAGAGCCCAAGATGACTTCAAAGGAGGCCCAAGATGGCCCACGATGGATGTCCGAAGAGGCACCCCGAGACACCCGAAAAGCTCAAAGACGCATCCGGGAACGCCCTGAGGTCCCCAAGACGCCCCAAGAGGCCTCCACAAGTTCTCTCCTCTGCCAAAACCTCTCTTCCAGTGGAGGAGGAGTACCCACCTCCTCCCCTCCCCTCCCCCGGAGGGGGGGAGCGGTGATGCTCCTATGTGTGGTTCGTGGTTCGTGGTGTGTGGTTCGTGGTTCGTGGTTCGTGGTTTGTGGTTCGAGGTTCGTGGTTTATGGTTTGTGGTTCGAGGTTCGTGGTTTGTGGTTTGTGGTTTGTGGTTTGTTGTTTGTGGTTCGTGGTTCGTACTGTGCGACGTCGTCGATCACGAACCAACCACGACGAACCACGAACCACAAACCACAATCCACGAACCACAAACCACAAACCACGACGAACCTCGAACCACGAAACACGAACCACAAACCAGAAACCACAAACCATCGCAAACCGCGAACCTCGAACGACAAACCACAAACCACAAACCACAAACCGCGAACCTCGAACCACAAACCGCGAACCACGAACCAACACATATGTTTCACACCCCCTTCCTTTCCG